TGTAGATAGGTTAGGCTAACAATCAGAGGATTCATGAGTTAGCGCCGCTCCACAATTTTCTAATAGGTTGGTAGTGTAAGGGAAGGTCTTCTTTATCGACGGTTGTCTCTCAAGAAATCTCCAAAAAGACCATAACACTGATGGCAACCGAGTGTCTTACATGTGTTAGACATTCGCTTGTCAAATTCCATTCATACTATTTGGATATGATTCTAAAATGACCCATGACCTAAATGGCTAGAGAGGTATGAAAACAGAACTTTATTCAATAGTAAATTGATACGATTTTCTAAAATCTTCAACAATACAAAGAGAAAAAACCAAAAGAACCAGGAAGATTGAAAACAAATGCCTATAAAATGACTGACTGACTGGCAGACTGATCGACTGAATCAATGTAGAATGTCGCACACAACTGCACTGACTCAATTTACCACACTTCATCATAGTAGTACACAAAAAAACAGCTTGATAGAAAAAGAGTGATATCAGAGTAGATAAAACTGTGTGAGACAATACACAGTCTGAAGATAAAGTTAAGTGTGAATGTTCAAGCTTTAAAAGATATGAAGGAGTGAATACACCTGCTTCATTGTCATCGATTTTTAGCCATATCTTCAAGAGTTAGTCCTTAATCAGTGATTCTTTTCATCTCGGGGACCCTAAACAGGCAGTCTACATCTCCCCACACGGCTCGGAACTATGAAATGATCAACGACGAACGATGACGACCGATCAAATGTATGTTATTGACAGTTTTTACTTTCCTATGCTAATGGGATAGAACACATTGTCAGAACTACATATGACTTTTAGTACTGAAAACTGACATCCCAATTAAAAAGCACCAATACTCTTAACTTGAAAACGTTACAGTTTATCCTAAGTTTCTCATAACAGTGATGACGTCAAGTAACCCTAAAAGGTAGGTATAACATTCTTATTAAAGAAAATAAACTTCAGTGATGATAGAATTAAATTTATGTTCATCAATTAGTGGAGTAACTTTGTTATCCAGCATTCAAAATTAGTTGGAGACTATGAGTTAATGAAATTTGGATGACTATAAAACTTAATCGTGCAACACCGTAATGCACAGCATATTTAACAATTAAATGCTAAAAACAATCAATGAGACATATTTCCCAGTTATATTCTAGTCAATAACTGCTGACTATTAAAAAGTTGTAATTTTGAGAAAGAAAAGAACGATGATACTGTTCATTTTCATAAAAAGCTTATAACAGCTTTGCAGAGCAATCACGAAAATGTGTATTTCTACCTCATTTTTGTGAATCAAACAAGTTGTCTTTAGGGACAAGCTTACAGTTAAATAATTGAAAACAAAATTCTAAGTTAATTTATTTGTTAGATAAAGTTCATAACCGAACTTATTGTTTCTATTTCATATCAAAGGTAACTCCACATCACTTTTATAATTCTGTTTCTTTAAATTAATTTGGCAAATGGATAGTAAACTTTTCCCAGTATCTAGGATAGGTGTTGAGCCATTCCTACAGCATATGTTCAATTTTGATACCGTACACAAATATTCGGTAGTGAATCTCTCCTTCAACAATGAAAAGTTCATTTTAACGGCTGAGATTTTACAACACCCTTTTATGTGGTTATGAGTGATTGCGTGCACCACAATAGCTCACTGTTTTTCCAGATTATTTATACTCTCAGTTTCCCGTTTTTATACAGGATCTGTTAGCCACCACCAAATAAATTAAAACTTAATGAGTAACCTAACAATTTCGAGGCATCATATAAGAACTCATATACCAACAGACGTCAATCACTTCGATCCAGCACAACGATGGGCAATTACAAGTAACTATAACTCGGTAGCCTAATGAATAACGCTCTGGCTTTTGAAGCGATGGGTGTGCGGTTAAAATCCCAGTGGGGAAAACAATAGTCACTGCGGTGAAGATAAATCTAGCTGACGAGTCCTAAGTAAGGGGAATTTCACATTCTCTCTGTCGAATTTGTGACTGTAACTGTTTGCATGCATTGAAACCAAGGAGGCCGCATCATATCGCTTTACTGGTAGTTGATGCTTGCGGGTTCTTTGCGCAATTCGACGGCTAGACTGGTCGACAAACTGCTACGAACAATTTCCGAAATTGATTTCTTAGATTATGTTTGCCCTATCTTCTTTTGGTTATAGATCCTTTGGTTTGCAAAACACTGTTTAGTTATTCCGTTGGTTTGTATGATACTTTGATTGCGAAAGGACAAACCAAATGATTGACTGTTTCTGAGATATTTTTGGTGTAGGATAGGGTAACGCACCCATTTCTTTACGGCGGTTTCCGTATTTTCTGTCCTGCTGACAAACACTTTTTGATAAAGCTAGATGGTTAATCACTGGTTGTGAACACTTGTATAGATATTTTTATTCGGCTTCCTGAAGTGCTTCAAGTGCTTGGACAACATCCAGGGTCAATAAAACACCTTTTAAACATTCGTGTGATATTCGAATATGCATCACTTCTTTATGAGGTTGGTGCTGAAGATATCATCAAGCTTGGTGATGAAACATTCACATACGAAATATCAAAGCTCACAGGACACCAAAACCACCATCATATTTCTCTGTGGTCTGTAAAATAGCCTCTTGTCAAGCTGCCAATAACCAAAATGTAAAAGTGGACAAGTATTTTCGAAATTTCAGCATTAGGCGCTCCGGATGTCTGTGATGTTTCAAGAGGTAAACACTTGTTTGTATTCAAACGTATCCTATAATCTAGATTCCAGTAATAATTTGAAAGCTAGACAATGACCACTGATTCATATTCTGCCTAATAAGTGAGGGTTGCTAAAACTCCATATCTCATTTAATCAATAACACCAGCGACGGCTAAACTTGAAACTCTTCAAAGAAGGTTACTTTTATTATTGAGTAAATGGTTGATATTGTGCTAATAAATACGCTAGGAAGAGTAAATTATAGCAGAAATCAAATTTCAACCCGTTTTTTGTTAGACCTTTGGGTTGGATAATGAGCAGCAGTTCTAAACCTTTCATGTAGTAGTCAAACAAAAGGTGCAACCTGGTCTGCCATTCGAAAACATTTTTTACAATGTTGATGAACTGCTATTATCAGTGATGTTGATTTACTATATAAAGATCAAGGCATGATAATAAATTAAAATTCAACCAGAACGGAAAGGATCTAACATATGATGTGATACGTTTAACGTGTTAACCTCAGGTAGGATTGAAGTTTTACAAAAATGTTGTGGTTTATTAACGTCCGGCTGAAACAATTCCAAAAATGGTATTGGTCATATCTTTCTGAAGTTATAAATGGCCATCATATTAAAATTATTTTAATTGGTTTGATGACTGTAAAAAATGAAGACTGAGTATAACAATAATGTGTAAAAAAAGGACATACTAAGCAAGCTGGAGATGTTTTTATAATTATTCCACCCTGGTACTACAAACCAGTCACCAAATAATTGGAATGTAAGCCTTGTGAGTAATTCCATATGCAACACCACATAGTCTACCAAATTACAGCAAGTATAGCTTTGTACCAAGCTAAATTTGAAGGCATCATCAACAGATGACTATGCTTTGAACAAGTGTAGCATTGTTATTTATTATGGATCCTAAAAAACTACAATGTAGAGAACACTAGAAAAATTGGTGTAGGGCTGATGAGGCGAAAGAACATAGAAAAAGGATTTCGAAGCATAAGCAGTATTTTACGAAATTATACAAATATAAGTACTTAAGTCGTAGTCTTTCGTGAAATTACATGATAGAAATAACTGCTTTTATTGGCTAGCTAATAATTAACCAACGATATACTGTGTGTGATATATTCACAACGAAAATGCTGTGGATCGAAGAAATAACACATAAATTACTGCTGTGTAGCATTTGACCATACAACCCATTTTATCAGCCTTCTATTAAATCTTTATATTCTTGGAAATGGAGAGAAACTTTTACAAGTGAGATAAATTTCCAGATAAGTACTTCTCTGTGCTTAAAACGGTGAGAGACGAAAGTAAGCTTCCCAATCCCTGAATCAAAAATTTGTAGGAAGTAAAGTCAGTGCATTTTGTGAAGTTTTAAATCTTTACTGGCTTCATTCAAGCGAAGACTGTTGAATAACTACGAACCCCCTGTAAAGTGGTCGAAGAAACAAATTCCCGACAAAGCAAGTGGTAGTAATTCGCTCACCGAATAAAACTAAACAGAAACCAGACCTTCAAAAACATACTAATTACTGGAGGTTAGAACGGAACAGGTGATCCGTACCTCAAGGTAAACTTATCGGTGACGATAGAAGATTCATAAACCGAAAATGGTTTGCTAATTCGAAATATCAGTCCATTTCAGTCACAATCAGCCATTTCGTATATGCGTACCTAATTAAACTTCGGGTTTTATGCAATTTACATGGCAATTTTCGAAATATGTGCGTTTTAAATCAACGGTTGGCGATAATCCACTCGAATGACTTATTATTTGAAACCATTTATTAGAAGTTACAGTCAAAGAAAAAAACGGGCAGTTTAAAGCATTCAGCCCCATTACCCAGCTCACAACAGTTCCACCTGGTGTCTCTTGTTATCGGCTGCTTGACCACATAGAGCCCAGTGCTTTGCCTGTTACCAACCTGTGTAAAACTATTGTCTGGCTTCATACTTATCGGACAGATTTTCCACCTTCTAGTTTATTATAATGGCGGAAATTTGTAAATAGTTAACCCGTTTAAAAATAACACAATTAAAATTAAAATTTCACAATCGTAAGACGTCTGGTTATTCCTTCACTTCACAATTTAATACCCCTAATCAAGATAGTAATACTTAGGAAAGGAGTTTACAAATGATTTCGGTAGCAACTGCCCAATAATTGACGGGTTTGCAACGAAAAACATTCAACTTTTAACATTCCACACCACATTTATGCCATAAAAATTGTCTGCTTCAATGAGAATAAGTATTGCTACGGTAAATAACGTCACTTACATTATTACAACAACATTTTCCCGACCACATCTAGATTCGTGAATAAACTTCGCCCCGGCTTTGAGATTGGTTTTAGTTAGCACCTCGTTTGACTTATTAAGTTCAAGATATCTCCAGAAAGCATTCTAAAGTAAACGTTACGAGTGATGATCACCACTCAATAAGGAAACATACTGGTTTGGGTGATTTTCGAGTTGAGGACAGCATACATACCATCTTAGCCTTCTTGAGGTTTGAATCTGTAGTCGCTTCTCCATGTTCTACTATGAAGAGATTATTCAGGACTTTCGCGAATGCAGCACCCATTTCAATGACGCCAATTCGAAAGGTTGCTTATTTACCTTGAGGATAAGGTCATAATTTGATCTGTGAAAACAATCAAACATCCAAAGTAGAGCGCACCGAGGAAGCTTGTAGTTTTTGAGTTCTCGCCTCTATGTCTTGATAATCGCTTTCTTTTCAGTTAAGCTGTATATCCTAGGGTACCGTAAAGGTCCTATTCCAATATCTAATATCTTTTTACGAGCTAGTGTAAGTCATTTGATTTCTCCGCGCTCGCTTCTATCTCTTGCGGAACCGTTCCAGGTCTTTGGCATATTCCACTGCAGTAGGTCTACCCACTCGGCTGCTGTAGCTCTGGTTAGCCCAACGGGCAGTCGGGTGTTGGTTAAATTTGTAGGCAGTTATTTGTTTGTTTGTTTTTTCTTCCGAGGGCTGTGGTGCAGATGGGTTCCTCAAGTGTCGTGCCAGTAGACAATTGGTCGGACTGGCTATAAAAAGGAGATGAAAAAATGTGTGCAGATAAATCAAGGGAGAGAGTGCAAATGAAGACAAAACAGAAAAAGAAAAGGAAAAACGGTTGGGAGAACGGAAACAGCATGGAAGAAGCAACATCGGCAGGTTTATGGGGAAGGGGTGATAGCGAGGGCTTTTTTAGAGTTAGAGAGTGTAAAGTCAGAAAGAAGAAGAATAAATAACATGGTAAGACGAATGGGAATATAGTAATTCTTTTAGTAGGAGACGGTAACTAGGGGGGACGTCTACAGGAAGGTATAAGTTTGAGACGAGTTCTCAGTGAAAGTGGTTTTGCGAAGTGTTCACTAACGGTTGGTCGTACCGAGTTAGTAAGTCGTGTCAGTCTAATCCACTTCCCAGTTGGATGAGGGCAAACTGTGCGTCACTGCTTAACTGTCCAACCTCTTCTTGAAGCTGTTAACAGACGGAGCAGCAGCAACCTCGGCAGGCAATGCGTTCCAGTGTCCGCGACCTTGCAGAGAGAAGTGTGATCGCGCACGTGTTTTCGCTCTTTGGTGGGCGATTCTCCTTGGGTTGCCTCGAGGATCGCCGTAGTGGCCGTTGTGTAGGATTGGGCTGTTCAGATGATTTGGATTACTGAGTCAACAAGTCACCACGTAATCTACGGTAGCTCAGGGAGTAGAACCTTAGATCCTTCAGCCTGTCCTGATATGGTTTTTGCCTCATTTCCACGACACCCTTTGTGTCTCGCCTTTGGACTTTCTCCAGGTGGTTCACGTCTCTTTTTAGATATGGTGATGTAATGACGTCGTGTACCTCTAAATGGGGTCTTATATAGGTCTTATACAGCTTCAAGAAGAGTTCTGGGGTCAAGGTTGCTGAGTTGTCTGCGCACGAAGAGAATTACTACGTGGGCTCTGGAGGCATCTCCTGGATAAATGAGGCCAGTGTCTAGTTTGTCAGTTAGTATTAGTCCTAGGTCTTTCTCCGTGGTGGCGTGGGAGAGTTGTGTTCCACAGGGAGAATAGGGCGCCTCCTGAGAGTCTGGGTGCGGAGAAAAATGGCTCGGGATTTATCTAGGCTAAATGCAAGTCCAGTAATATCCACCCACTCCGCAAGTAATCTGAAGTCACCTTGCAGTGTTTCTGACGTCACAGCTTTCCATAGCTTAGCATCATTTGCGCAGATTAGAATTGGGGAGCTTAGATTCAGTGGGAGGTCATTCACAAAAAGAAGGAATAGCGGTGGACCCAGAATCGCCCCTTGTGGTGCACCGGATGGTGTCCTCCAAGCAGAGCAAACTCTGTTGGCTTTTGTGTAGAACTGTCTACCGTCTAGATAGTCCTGCAACCATGAAAGCACTTGTCCCTTGACACTCAACCTTGCTATTTTGTGAATAAGGACGGTGTGTGGAACCGCGTCGAAGGCCTTCAGCAAAATCCAGGAAAATAACATAGATAGGAATTTGGAGGTCCCAGCATGCCGTCCACTTATTACCTGACGCCAAAATGTTTGTGGCACAGGACCTACCCTTTCTGAAACTATATTGAACCTCAGCAAGTGCTCTCCTCTTCTCTAAGCACTCCCTCAGATGGTCGTCTACCAGGCTGTCCATTGCTTTTGACACTACTGGTAGAAGGGCTATGGGTCGGCAGCATTTAGGGTTCTGCCTGTCTCCACCTTTGAAGATGGGGGGCAGAATAGCACTTTTCCACTCTTGTGGAAGCATGTGATTGTCTAGGGAGTGCTGAAGCAAGTTACACAGCGGACCGCACAAGGCACCCGCGCATTCTTTCAGCACAGCCGGTTGGATGTCATCACACCCTGGTGATTTCCCTGGGCGGAGCTTTGATAGTTTTTCGAGGACCGTAGCAGGAGTTACTCTTATTCCAGCTAACTCTACTGCGTTTGTTGGTGCTGAATGTTGGTCGGACAGTTGCCAATTTTGGTTCTATAGGGATGTATTCGGTTGCGTATAGAAGGTGGCGCCAAACGGCTTTGGCGATCCCCAGTCCGGAGAGCTTCAGGACGCAAGCCCCCTGGCCGGTGGATTTTATGCCTGCCATACACCGATATAGGTTTTTGGGGTTTGCCTCGAGCTTTTAAGTAAGGTCCGCCTGGAATGGCCTCCTGTCTCCCTCACTCAGATATTACGTAGACTTCTTAAGGCAGTATACACGGTGTGGTCAGACACTTTTCTGGAGGTCCTCCACTTGTGCCATGCTTTCCTCTTGACTTTGAAAAGGCGTTCAGTGCCTTGCTTCAGCCATGGGGTTCGCTTCCACAGTATTGCTGTGATTACTGGGACGTTTTCAGAGATAGCTCTCTTGACGATATCTCTGACTAGTTCCCAATGTTGATCAGTCGACATGTTGTTCCACTCCTGAGGCCATGGTGCTGTCGACAGGTATTGGTTCATCGCCACGCAGTTTGCTTTGCTGTAGCAAGGGCAAGGGCGAGATCCCTCCCATGATAGTTGTTCGTTGAGTATCATATCGAACACAATCACCCCGCGACCGCTGCTGCCGTGGGGGGGTTTGAACCTGTACATTTCCTACCAGCGGGTGGTCACTGGTAAAAGGGTAGTCCAGTATGAATGGCTTTCCGTTCGATCCCCAACGAGTGTCATCACCAATATTCTCTTGCAGCCCAGCCTTTTTGACAGTGTTCAGTGCGTTTCGCTCGAATTTTTCAGCTTGAATTTCCTCTATCCTGCCCCAGATTGAGAGTCGGAGCACTATAGTCGCTGGTTAGAATGACCTGGTCATGTCCGATGGACGTCACTCCGGACATTGCTTGCAGCAGTAGTCGGTTATCTTGCAAGATGCTAGCAGGAGTTCTGTAGACGCCTCCTACCGGACATTTGGTGTGTCCGAACCTGAACTGATACCAGATGGAGTCTGGGAGCCCTGAAAGTAGAGTTTCAGTTGCTCGCTCACTTTTAAGGTCATCGCTCATAAGCATCACCACTTCGCCTCCTTCCTCAGACTCCCTGTCTCTCCTGAACAGGCGCATACCGTCTACGCTAGTTTCGACGTCACTAATATCCGGTGACAACCAAGCTTTTGTCGGGATTATGATGGCCGGAGCAAGGTAGGAACAGAGAAATCGCAACCCCCCATCTTACTTATAAGTCCCTTCACATTACTGTAAAGACACTTGGCTATGTTTCTAACGACAAGGGGTATCTTGGTGCTGGCGGACTGGAGGGAGTCGTGTGTAGTGGCGGAACTTGCTATAGGACGGCCAGCTCCAGTGGAACCAGCCCAATCACGTTTTTTCTCATGATGGTTTCTTCGGGTCACATGGAGTCCGGGCTTGTTTGTACATCTTGTCTGTTGACAGTGATGGTGACTTCAGCAGTGGGTGGAGCTGCCGTTTGCTGTTGTCGCAGTGTCTTGGGTCCGCTTTCACAGCAGCAAACGCTTCTTTCACTGTGTGCTAAGTCTGCAGTACTCCGGTTAAAAGTTCTTGGCGGCCGAATTTAACAGCCATCAACCGGGGTGATGTTATTGTCGTCAAGTGTAAGAGACGTGACAGTCTGCAGACCGCTGCCACTTTCCCGTTTGACCCTATCTTCTCTGATAACCACTGCCATTGCTGGACGTCGTGAGCACACTTTTCTGCCACTATGCCGGTTGTCACTTCCGGTATGCCGTGGACAACCATAGTTGTTAGTTCCAGCGTTTGGGGCGCCTTGCGAGATACTTTTCTTGCTGACCGAGGGCGGTTTGGTCTGGCTCTAATGCTGGATGAACTGTTGATGGCTGGTGTGTGTGACATTAGCAAGAATCTTTCCGCCTCCCTAGTTGAGCTCAGGGTCACTCTCATCGGTGGAGGCTTTCCCTGGGGTGAGTAGTTGCCGTTGTAGAATCTGCACAGCTTTGCCTCTAGGCTACCCAGTCCAAGTGCGGTGCATACGAATTCCCATTGCTGTTTGTCAAAGGCTGTTCTCAAGAAGGCTATCATGATGCACCTGGACGATAAATAAGATGATGAAGTTTGATCTGTCATCAGCTTCCCTGTTTCAGTGTACTGCGGGTGGTTTCCCACTGTCCACCATTTTTCTCGATGTACAGTGGGGTTAGCCGTTAAAGTGACTTCAGGGTTAGGAAATAATGTAGTTGGTCGCGTGCTCAGTCGCCGTTTGGGTCTTTTTAGACCGTTCGCCGGTGTGACAGGCCGGTGTACGTTGCTAACACTGTTGCTACTTGGACCTACGGTAGTGGTCTGTGTGGGTGCCGGCATCACAGTGGCCACTGCGATGCCTTTTAAGACCTCCATCAGCCAGCATGTGGAAAGGAGTGGCCTTATGCGGCACTGTGGGCAGATGTACCAGAACCACTTGTATGGGTAGCACGCCATGAAGGTGTAATATTGGCCTGATATGTCCTCATCATACTGACTGTGTACCCACTTATTGCAGATATCACGCTCAAAGGCAGCATCCCTCTTGGCTACGGTGAGACCACACATGTGACAATCGTCTGTCTGACTGGAAGGTTTAGTTAACTACTTTCTTTTCCTTCTCTTCCGTCTCTCAGTGGTAGCATTCGCAGGTAGACTATGGTTTGGGATGGTGTTACCGGAAAGACATGCTCGTCGATGAACTAAAGCACAAGGGTTTAGAGGGAAGGGAATTCAACCTTTTCCAGGAGGTGGTTGTTCTAAATGTCTTCCTAAGGTCGACCAGTGATCTTTTGTGTCGGCGCTAAGCCACTTGCCTCTGGCCCTAGTTTTTACCAAAGATGGGGAGGTTTGTAGCTGAGGTGAGGCCTTATCTGAGATGTTCCTGAGACCAGATTTGGCCAGAACCCTGTTGTTACTCATTTCCACTGGTGATAGGGGGGCATAAATGAGATAGACACAGATGGTTGTATCAAGTGAAACGTAGAGAAGCAATGA